ACCCATCATACTTGCAGCCTGAGACAGATGGAAAGCTTCTCGTGGTTTTCACTGGCAATACCTCTTTCTTATTCCATTCATACCTTGACTGCCTAAAAGAATACTGCAAAGACGATTTACTCTTCACTTACCACACTACTATCAATGACAGCAGCCACAGCGATGAAATTCATGAGCCTGATATTGAGTTTACCCTCTAAAAAAAGGTGGAGCAGGGATGTCCTTTCCAAGCTGAAAACTCCAACCTAAAAGTCCCACTAACAGCCTTGGTGGCGGATGTACTGATTTAGGCCGCATCTCTGCCTTTTCTGTACGGACTATCTAATTCTACGGAGTATCCGACTCTGATCAATGACTCAATCAATTAGAAAGCGATGCTGCAACAGAACTCTACCTAGGCAGACGTATTCACAATTAACGAACATAACAGTTGCCTGTAGGCATGCGCCTGGGAGTACTCGATTTCAAATTTAGCCCTCGTATCTTAGACGATGCATAACCCAGATTTTGCGACGATCATGGCTGAATGGAGGTCTTTATGCCAGAGAGACCGTTTCGACTTTTCGAGTCTTGAGATGTAGCCCTTGTGGGTGGGGCATTGGGGCTTAGCCATTATCCATCCTGATCTATTGACCACCAGCCTTGCAGTTTGAGCATTCTGCAGCTTAGGCTCAAGAGTCTTGGACTGCCTATCCAGATCTAATTCAAATTAGTCCGTAGCTGGTTAGGTGTGTCTGAGTGACAATAAATGATGAATGTTGTAAAGTATGTTGTAAGAATACAGATACACATACCAAGGCATACATCTTGGAGCTCGAACGTCTCTAATGTATTGATATCGTTGGCCTGCTCGATCTCCATGATTCCAGGATAGTTACCAGAAGAAGGCCAGAGGATTCGTGCCGAGATGAATCAGATCGTACAATCCACCACTATCCCACTGCTCTCAAGATAGCCACATTGTGTCGTCTCATAAGCATGTCTCAACGCCTCGCCAACAGACGGTGACTGGGCTAGTCCGTACCTTAGTCCATCAGCACCATCCAGCTGCCGTCAAGGAATCGACAGGTAGGAAAATTCTCCTGCTCCCTTTATGGCCACATGCATTCTCCTAATGCCAATCTCGATGTTTTATGCATCCGCATGAAGACTGAAGAGCTGAGATCGGACGGGGTGTCCGGGCAGTGGGACCCAGTCCTCTCGTCCCATCCGGTCGGGATTCTGCGTCTGTGAAGGCGAAACCTGTATCAAGTTAGATGGTGTAGCAGTGTGGACTGGTTGAAATCGCCCGATATTGCCATGCAGGCATTCACTGTGAGGGGGGCTGTCGAAGATATTTCATAGTTGTATCGGAGTGTACTATATTATCATGTCATTTTCCTCGTGGTATGACATGAACAATAATAGTACTTGAACTATCTAATGTTTTCTTTTTTTTTCTCATCGATAATATCATTATTGCCTGCCACTTTCTCTGCTTTTTTTTTTGACAACAGGGGATTCTTGGATATCCATTCATCTCAGAGTCTTCGCCCACGCACATCATTACTTCTAAACGATACTTACATACTACTTACCTTACAAACTCAGTGTTGACTGCATCCTCCTATTTCCCTTTTGAGCCATCCCTCCCGCCCCTCCTCGCCTTTCTGGGATTCTTGTCTTTTCTCTTCCTCTCTGTTTCTTCTTCTTCTCCTCCTCCTCCTCCGCTTTATTTTACACTCGCTTTACCGTCTTTTCTGAACGTTCCTTACTTTCTTCTTTTCTTACTCTATTTTTTCTTTGCGCGTTCGCCCGCACAGCTAATTTTGACCTACACATTATCCACACCTGACCTCTGGACACAATAATATCCATCCATCCTTGTATGGTCCCATCTATACCCGATCGGGCGGTAGGGCGATTATCTACTCCCCGTCTGCTACGGTAACCCTCTCTGTTTGTGGCCTCTGTGAGATTGGACTTCACAGACGGATTGTGTTGGGTAAAAAGGTCGCTTGCTGTGGGCGAATGTCGCCTTTATGATTATTTCTTCTTCTTCTTTCTCAATATCGTATCTAACGTCTCCTCTCTTCCATTCTTTTGCATCTTCAAATATATGACAAACACCATTGCCGAACGTCCGGAGTATCACCCATCTACCCTCGTCTCTTACGTGAGAGTCGTCCATAATGCCAACAGTCTTACTTCCCTCCTCGGCCGCAGCATTTGCGCCGCGGTCCTCGCCCAATGTGGTCTTGAATACCAAGATCGAGCCCTGGTTGACGGCGACCTTGAAACGAGTCAACCGTGTCAAGAGACCACTGAACAATGTCACACAGCATACAAGATGTCTGACGGAGACTTTGTCCTCGCCGCATGCTATCTGGACTCTGTGCTCCATAATGTTCCCAAAAGCACCAGACTCGGAGCTCCGAAAGGATGAGAACCCTCTCGTGGAAGCGATCTTCAACTACCAGATGATCCACATCGAAGCATATGTTGTGCACGTCGACATGGTCTCTCAGAACGAGATTGCCTTCAAGCTAACCCCGGAGACCATCGAGGCTCTGGTGGAGTTCCACCAAGACGTCTACTCTGTGGATGCTGCCGCCAGCACATGGGAATGGAGCGAGAAGAGACATCAGCTGAAGAAGCTACAGGAGGAGTTTGTTCAGGCTGCTAACAGATTCGTCTATCGCACCAATGTTCAGGCCCTTGAAGGGCTCGAGGAGGACGGTGCAGGTGAATTGCTCGGGGGAAGAAGTGACGAGGCTAAAGCGGCGATCGAGAGCCTCTTTGTCCCATTGCGTCCCCCACCTCCTCGGGTGGTGGATGTCCTTCGTTCCACTCCTATCCTCCCCAGCTCAGTTGGGATGGAGACATGGTGGCAACCTCCGATGCAGCAACCCGCGTCTATGGACGCCTGGAAAGTACTACCATCCAGCCCAACCACGGCCAGCACAGGGGATTCTAATCCGAATTTGTGGGCCAGTCTCAGTGGTCTCGATGAGACGCACTATCCTTCCTCAACGTCATCCTACAGTCAGCCCTTCACCACCTCGCCGTACGACTCGGACCCGTATTACAGCGCCGCTGCGACTACTGTCGCTATCGCTGCTCTTCCACTACCGAGTATGTTGGTGCAGCCTTGCGGCACTGCCGCGAGTGTGACAGGGTTTGGCTGGGGCGGTCGATACCAGGATTTTGCGCTGATGACGATGTAAAGGGTCCATGGCACCACAGACATCTTGATGTTGACGATCTGCCTGACTTTCATGTGTCTTTGGATTAGATCCCGGGGTACCGACCAGCAAAGTCACCGAGACTCCTCTACAACCTATACCGGCAGCATACAGTCCCAACGACAACACGGGCTACTTCCCTACGGATACCCACATCAGACTAATTGGCATCATTGACGGCGTTCACACTCTCGACTTTGCGACGAAGAACCATGATACTCCACCTCGTTTTTGCTTTGCGCCTCCTGTCTCCTTCTCTTGAAAAATCCATAACTACAGTCACACTTCGGTTTTTTTCTCGTTTCTTCTTTAGCCAGCACTTTCAGCGTTCTTATCTTTTAGTTCATTGCATCGAGAAGCGGCGGGTCGGCTATTTGTTTTGCTCCTTTTTCATGCTACATCCCGCATTATATGTCATGAAGACCTGGTATGCCTCACGGCTTGGGATATCATTTGGATGAAATGTTCACCCTCGTTTGTATTTCCTTCCTCGCTGCATTATCAACAGGTACGGTGGAAGCGCATGACGATGCTTGACTGGATTCGGCTTTATTTCTGCTTTCCATTGTCCTGCTGACATCCTCCCTTTTTTGGTACGGGATACCAGAATGAAGTCCACAAACGTGGGCTGGGAAAGGATGCTCTGCAGCGCTGCTTGCACATCACATCTGGCATGTGTTGTGCTAGCGGATTTGTCGTCCACAGGCGATAGGGGTACAAACGGTCGAAAGACGCTGCATTGATCACCAAGGATCGGAAAGTCCGCCTGCGGCAGATATTCTAATCAGGGCTAAGTACACGCTGGTCTGTGACCTCGTCGAAGATCAGCCCCCTTGAAGTCAGTGGGGCTCTTTCGTCCGGTAGTCCCCTGTCCCCTGTGTGTCGCATGGTAGGTTCATCCCCTACCATCCAGGCTGGGTTTATAATATTACCTGGATGCGCTCGGTCCATCATTCCGTTTCCACTGGATGGAACATGTGGACGATGTCGAGAATCGGATGCTGGCATAGTCATTCACTTCTATTGAGTGTCTGAGAAAGGGGCTGGAACCCTCTGCTTATCTTCTCTCTTTCCCCCTGGGAATATCATCATTCTTTCTTCGCATGCATTGAAGTACTTGCGCAAGATGTATCTAAATTGAGAAACCTCTAATCTTGAACAATCCATGTCGAATAGTGGCAAACTGCACGCGAGGGGCGAACCTCGACTGACTGAAGAAGTAGTCTCTGATTTTATCATCCGGTAGATCGCAGCGATACTCATATAATAACATCATACTCCTGAAGCCCTTTGATATAAGAGGCCGACAGCGGGCGGTTTTCGCGGGTGCGTTGTGAAGCTGCGAACCGTGCGCAGTATCTAACAAGCAAGACACACATGACGTCAGCCCCATCCAGTGGACCAGATCAAGGCCTGACTCTCCCGTATACTGGCAACTCAACTCCACAGAGACGTTGGAGATCTGCCGGAGAAGATTATCCTTGGTCTTTTACTGGATTGCATCATTCATAAGGCATACAATGGGGCATTGATGTCCTGGTGCCTTCGACGCCCTGATTCTTGTACATGACTATGATATATTCGCACATACTCCGTACGTTCTGTCGACTCCAAAGTGAAATAGCAAGGAGTGCTGATGCAGACTGAACTAGAAGAGAAAAAGCTGTCAGATTTATCCAGTCATTCCTTTGAGTAGACGGCCTATGTACACGGAAAACCGTGAGATATATCAACGAAAATAGCGCCCAAAGACGTGATCATTCCAGTTCGTCATCAATGGCATCCTTACAAGAAGCATTGCAATGCCTCTCCCCCACAACATGGGACAGCATTCCTACCGACCCCGCCAAACTACGAGACTACATCAACGACATCTCCTCCAAAGCGCGCCTGATCGTCGACTCTGTACCCGAGACCGCCCCCTCCCACAAACAAACCCGCTACGCCTTCGAGTCCAGCTCCCTCGCCGCATCGCGCATCACCCCCTCCCCCGCCCGCACAGGCTCCACAGATCCCAAAATCGCATCCCTCCAGCGCGAATGGGGCAAGCCCATTAAGATCACCAGTTCCAAGGAGAACCCGCTCGAGATCCCCGTCTACAAAGTGCAAGGCGGCGATGGCAAGGGCCACTGGTTTGGTCGCCGGAGCGTGCACGAGGGGCTTCCCTTCTCGAGGTGGAAGAGTAAGCTGGCGAGCGAGATGGACGAGACGCTTGAGGCGAACCAGGCGCGGGTACGGAAGGGGCGGGTCGCGGACCAGGCGGTTCGGGGGATCGGGGCGGAGCGGCTGATTGAGCGCGTGACGGTGAAGGACGAGGACGGGGAGAGGGTTCTGGGCACTGTGAATGTGTATCATGTCTCTGCGCAGTTTCCGAAGCCGACTACACCGCGGGATTTCGTGACGCTTATTATTAACTGGGAGACGGAGGTGAATGGGGGCAGCGAGGCTGCTGGTGCTGGCGCGGAGGCTCGGCGACGCGGCCGCAATTGGATGATGGTGTCCAAGCCCTGTGAGCATCCGGATGCGCCGCCGAGGCAGGGGTATATTCGGGGTCAGTATGAGTCCGTGGAGTTTATCCGGGAAATTCCGGTCGACAAGCCTTCAGTGCAGGACGTGCCGCATGGAACGGCCGTTTCGCCGGCCAGGAGCGAGGACAATCTGCTTCGACAAGGTGCCTCTGCGGATCCAGCTGGGCAGAAAGGGGCTGTTGACGACAAAGTCGGTCGTACGCGAGGAAAGATGGAGTCGGCGGTTCTGGAGAAACGCGATGAGGAGACAGCCAAGCATAATGATGACCTTGACCGGAATGATGAAGAAGATCCATGGCCAGTGGAGTGGATAATGGTGACCAGGAGCGATCCAGGTGGCAATATCCCTCGTTGGATGGTGGAGAAGGGGACTCCCAAGAGTATCTGCACCGACGCCATCAAGTTTATCGATTGGGCTTGCCGCGACACGACCACGCCAGACAAGGACGAGCGCGACGGCCATGGACGAGAGTCTTCAGAGAAAACGATGGAAAGGTCGTCGGTGGACGGCGACGCGCAAGTTAGTACCGACTCGGACTACACGGAATATGAAGAAGAGGAACATCATGGCCTGATTGCAAGTTTCGCATATCTTCTCAACGCAGGGCTGGAGCGGTATGCGCCACGGGCAGTCCTAGACTATCTACCACACCATACGCGCGAATCCTCAGCCCAATACAGTTCCTCTGAAGATACCGACGGACCCAGTGATAAAGATCCCCCATCGAACGTTGGCGCTGCGAATAGCAATGGTGGCACAGAAGGCCTCGAAAAAGATGCCACTACCAACGCTGCCGATGCTGCGTCGCAAACCTCGCTGCCGGTAGCGACCAACTCGGTGCCTACGACTCCGCTCTCGGAACTCGCCCACGAAAACATCTCTCCGGTGGAAGTGATCAAGATGAACAAAAAGGGCAAGCTTTCCTCCCACGAGAAGCAACTCGCCAAGCTGGCACAGCGGAAACGCGAGGTCGAAGCTCAACTGGAGACCATCAGGAACGAGATCCAAACACTCCAACTCGGTTCTTCCCCCGAGGTGGATACCAAGAAGGCCCGAGCTGCTGCTGTTGGCGATTCTGGCGTAAGTGATCAAGCCAGCAGCAGCATTGCCAGTACCGATCTACAGCAGGGCGCGGTTGAAGGCGCTCCTTCATCAAACAACAGCCACCATAAGCATAAGACTAACATCGAAACAGCGCACTTGCACAAGGTCGCATCCGGCTTATTCCAGCAGGAATCGAAACTCCTCAAGCAGCTCGGAAAGATCGAAAAGAACCAGCTCAAAGAAGCCTCGAAAATAGAAGCGCAGCAGCGCAAGAACGCCGACCGCGAGGAGAAGTCGCGGTCTAGGGCGGACACGGATGCTCTACGGCGGGAGGTGGATACGCTGAAAAAGGAGGTCGAGCGGCTGCGGTCAGAGAGGCAGAAATGGCTAGACCTGATTGCGTCGCTGCAGGCCGAGAATACCAGGTTGGCGGCACGCCAGGGTGGTGGAGAGGGTCAATAGGATATGGTCGTATGTCTTGCCGTTCTGTAGCTAACTTGTGCATTGGGTGGATCTGTCGACGTTTCAGTACTGTGACTATCGATGTATGTAAATGATAGGGCAAAATCATCAAATTGTATGTCCTGATTAAGCTGTTGTAGGTACAACAGAAGAACTGTTCACGATGAAAACTGTCCGCAATGACAGTTCCCAAATAACGCCATGCACCGGGTATCAAAGAGTATCCTGTGTCAATACACATATTCCATGAAATCTCAACCATATCAATCTCTCGCACTTCTCGTGGAACGCCGGCTCTTGTCTGACCGCACATAGCAAGCTCCGAATTCAGAGGTCACCATAGACCTATGACAGCCGCACAATTCGATTGACCCCGGCTCATTGCCTGCACTGTTCCGGAGAATCCTTCTTCGACCACGAAATCAGACCGCAGTTGGACCCATCAGGCGCGAATAACCGTACACGGACCTCGTCTCCGTGCAATTCGAGCTACCCAAAATTCAGGGACGCAACATCGCCAGTCCCGTCCGCAGCCCATATACCAGAAGCCTCGTTATTCCTGCGTCTAAGCCTCACATCAGCCAAACACGCTCAACAAGCACAGGGAACAAGACCAACCTCGGGCGGATTCCCAGCCCCGCGAACCATCTTCTCGATCATAGCAGCCCGCACCTTCTCCTTCGGCTCGCCCATTCCAAGAGCCATGTACGAGAGCAGCGGCGCGTGCCCGATATACGACGCATAACTGTCGCGGATGATGTTGGATTCCCATTCGTACTTCGTTGTGTCGGCGTGGCCGGTGCCGACGTGGCGGGCCTGCAGAGCTTCGAGGTTTTGGAGGGTGCGGAGTTTGTCGGCCATTTTTATTTATTCTTCTGTAGGATGTAGATTTTGTGATGGGAGGGGGTTGTTGTCCGTGTATGTTGAAGATGAGAAGGAATTTCGGTTGGGGAAATGGACAAAATATGTCACGTGATATGCGTGGAATCGCAAATGCAGTGAGTGTGAGTGCGGTACAAATCGTCGATGAAAATCGATTTCGGTTACTCGTTGCGAAATGGTCTTTGATGGATTGTTTGGCTTCAGAGTCTTCGCTGCCATTCCGTATCGCCTCCCTGGTGCATGCGCATTTTGATGGCCTGCCTGCTCGCAGCAAGCCCACCATCTATCCTGATGGGTCGAGAGAATGGATCCCCATGTCCGGGATCGTGGTTGTAAAAGGTATAACCCTCGTCTTCTCTCTGATATCTGAGGTTCGCTTGGCTGATATCTAAGTAGGGAAAAATACTGCCTCGGAGAAATTAAGCTGTGTAGCAGTCACGTATGCATCCAGGCCTTAGTCTCAATATGCTTAGGATGACGTTAACTGCTCTATAGTACTGGTGCAAAATGCCTTCCAGCCTCGCAGGTATCCAAAGGCAGAGGCCTGGTGCTCCATGACTGGCACGCGGAGATTTTGGCCCTCCGCGCATTCAACTACTGGCTCCTGTCTGAATGTCACAGCCTGCTGGCTCAGGAACAGCTTGCAAGATCATCAAGCTGGACGAGTCCATTAGGAGCGGCATCTTCACCTTTCATCCGCCGCAGAGAACCCGCCGAAACGCCCTGCGCAGCGCAATCAGAACCAACCTCCGCCTGGCCCCCCTTTGAACTCCACCCCGACATCAAAATCTACATGTACTGCACCTGCGCCCCCTGCGGTGACGCAAGCATGGAGCTCTGCATGGCCGCACAAGACGACCCAAGACCCTGGGAGGCCGCACCAGAACCCCAACGCACCGAGTCGCCCGGCCCAGAACTCCTAGATGGCCGGGGCTACTTCTCCCGCCTCGGCATCGTCCGGCGCAAGCCGGCGCGCGCGGACGCCGAAGCAACCCTCAGCAAGTCGTGCTCGGACAAGCTTGCGCTGCGGCAGGTGTCGTCTCTCCTATCGTACGAGGCGAGTCTGCTCGTTGCGCCAACTCGAAATGCGTATATCGAGGGCCTGATCCTCCCGGAAGAGGAGATAAGCCGGGTTGGCTGCGAGCGGTGTTTCAGCGCCACGGGGCGGATGAAGATGTTGAATGGTAGGTTCTGGCCGGCGCGAGACGATAGCGAAGTACAGTACGGATACAGGTTCCAACCATTCAGTGTGCTCTCTGTCCCAAACGACCTGATCGAGACGGTCTGGCCGTTCCGGAAACCGAAGCCCACATCAGCAGAAGCTACGACGCCAACGCAGACACCGACACCGCCGAGGAAAAGTAAGCCGGGTAATGTATCGGCCGTGTGGGTGGCCGCCCCCTCACTCCCTCATCCGTGTCCCATTGCATCAGACAACGGCGCCAAGTCCTTGCCGGTGCTACGGGGCTCGAGGACGGGCTTGTATGAGACCATCATCAACGGGGTGAAGCAGGGGAATCGCGCGGCGTCTGTTACGCCTCGGGGTGCTTCTGCGTTGTCGCGTGCGAAGCTCTGGGGCTTGCTTCGCGATATAGTGCGGTCATCATGCTCGGGGGGTTGTACACTGGAGGTAGTTGATGGGGAGACTGGGTTTCATGCAGGCAATGTCCCAGAAGCGGGGCCGTCTCTGCAGGATAGGACGCTTTGTCAACTGATTGCAGCGTCCACGTACGAGCAGTTTAAGAAGACGCCAGTGGCATTGACGCCGTCCATCAAAGCACGGAGAAATGCCACTCGAGAGGCCAAGGAGGCCTTGAAAGGATGGATACCCAATGAAGGCGATGAACAATGGGGACTGGACGTTCTCATTGACCCTAAGAAGCGCAAGCGCTGATGAATTGATTCTTCAAATATTATACACATGGCGAACGTTATGAGTGATGAGATGCAAGGGACATTCATGCACTTGAAGTTGTCTAATGGTATTGCAGGGTCTGTCGAAAGGCGCCTTCCGGAGAGAATAACCCTTGGGAAATCCTCGGCCCATAATTACAAACTTTTATCAAACATTATTATGTTACATCAAGATACGACGGTCGATGGTCCCAAAGACAAACGGCGTCGCCATCTCAGTCAGCCTTGGCAGGCGAGAAATCAAAATTTTGAGCAGGCGGCATCACTAGTATATGCCCGGGATGATTCTGCTGCGTACCAGAGAGGTATAGCGGTCCCAGTCGGCACCATACTTCCGCTTGCACTTCTCCTCATCACGCCTCTCACGGTGAAGGAGCAGGACACCGAAGTAGATGATGTAAAAGTAGGTGAAAATCATTCCCCAGCCGCGAGCTTCCGGCGTCTGGACAGCCTGTCTCTGCATCTCACCGGAAGCCGGGCTAATACTCTCAATTATGGCATACCCTGCAACGCCGGTTGGGAGGGAGTAGGACCAAGCCATGATCCAGTCGCCAAGGTAGTTAATGTGACGCGCGCAACCCCACCAGCCGGAAATGAGCAGCTTGGAGCCGGTCTTCGTTTCGATATACTTGAGGTGCTTCACGCGAGGGTCATTGGGATCAGTGCGGAAGCGGTTTTTCTGGTTGTTGGCTCCACGGAAAATCGCATATCCCGCGGCTGTGACGGCAAATACGATGAGAATCCCACTCAGGCCGAGCTCAGAGGGATAGACGGCGAGGTATCTGGTCTGGAAATTGTAGAGGAATGGAACCCAGACCAAGTCGCCAAAGGAGAGCATGAAACCGAATCCGTCCATGATGATGTCCATGGTCGTCAGAAGAGCTGGTTCCATGTAGAGACCATCCAGGACGTAGAAGCCCTGGAACGCAGTCGTAAAGACGATCGAATCGGTGATGTAGCCATATGTGCGGTATTGATGGGCGATATTTGACAAATTCAGAATGATCCATCCAAGCAAGCCAGGTCTCATCTCACACCAGGACTTGATGTCAATCGTCCGCGCAGTCTCGCTCACCAACGGAATGGGCAGCTTGATTCGGGGATTAAGCTCCCGGCCAATGAAGAAGTCATACAGGGCGTTGCCTGTGTGCCCGCCAGGCGCCAGTTGCCGGAGCTCGGGGTTCAGTTGACCGGGAGCGGGAACCGAGAAACTTTTGAGGTAAACGAAGATCGCGATGACAGTGCAGATGATCAGATTCGCAGTGATCACCTGCAAATAGTTATCCCAGAGGAAAGTCCACAGTGCGAACTCCGCGCCGTAGAGGTACGTGCCTGCCGCACAACCTGACAGGATCAAGACAGCCGATAGGAATGCTGCGAATCGTCAGAAACATACCGAGCATAAGTCCTAGGGAGCGGGAGGTCTTTACCGTTGAATTTGTACTTGAGTCTCCCTCCACAAGCCAGCTCTGTACCTTCAACTTCTGTACCAGGGAGGAACACCTGCATGAGCAAACTAAGGAAATAATAGCCCAGAACCCACAGGGTAACCTGGGTATCATAGAAACCTTTGATTCCATCCTCCGGCCAGCCGACCTCCTCTTTCAGCTTATCAATTGACAATGTCGATGGGTGCAGAAGCGACGGCGCAGGACAACCAGAGATATCGTTGCAGAGGAAGGTGAACGCGTAGATCAGACAGGGTAGGCCAAAGATGATTCCAAAAGCTCCAATACTTTGAAAATCAGTATATCAGCTTGACAGGTCCATAATCTTTCAATGATTGGATTTCAACGTACGGCCCTTGAAACTCATAACCGCGTTTCTCTGGAACGGGTTGAATGAGAACTTTTGGCTTCTCGGATTTCTTTGACGCCATTGTCAACGACGACTCACGTCAAGAGCAGATTTAAAAACGGGCAATTGATCCTCTGCGTCGCGGAGACTATCCAAGGGGAACTTGAGGTTTAAATAAAATTTCAGGAACAACCCCAGAGTTAGTGACTATGATAGTGCAGATCAGCGATCGATAGCAGTCCGCCGTACCGATTATCCACGTATGAGGCCGGATAAGCAGAACCCGATGGCTGCCTTCAATGTCTTGGCCGCTAGAGACAATATTATTCGTAGGATTAATTAGCTGCAATCCCTAGGATAATGAATAATAATTTTGAGACTTAGGCAACCTTGATTGGTGGTCTAAG